CACTTTGAAAACGGCCGCCCTCAATCACTAAAATTCTTACAAATGTTTAAAAATAATGTGCGCGGCGCTACGGCGAGAGCCACATTTTGAAAACGGCCCGCCCTCCATCTGCGAAGCTGTTGTCATTTTTTTTAGCTGTAGGGTCGTTCAAGATGAGGCAGTCTCAGGCGAAACGCCCGGCGCGCCCTAGATAGTGGCTTAGGGGGGCGACAGGGAGAAGTTATGTATAAGGAAAAGGAATGGACGAGGAGGAGGAGGAGGAGGAGGAGCTGGAGCAGGAGGAGGAGGAGGAAGAAGAGGAAAGGAAGAGTATCCAGGAGGAGGAAGGGTATCCAGGAGGAGGAAGAGGAGAAGGAGGAGGCGGGTGAGGAGGAGGAGGAGGAGGACGAGATGGCCAACATTGACCCGCGTGCGGCTTTAGGAGAAGTTCCCCACAGCCTGATCAGCCTCGGGGAGTCTTGTCCTGATGCCAGCAGCATCAGTGCCCATACCGATGTGCACGTCTCATGGCTCACTGCTCCTGGAAGAGTCAACGGCCACCGCGTGTCGGGTTTTAACGTCTGGTAGAGAGGATCTAGTGAGCAATCGTCAAGCTGCACTTCTTCCATCGCGCTCCAATGCCGCACAGTCCTCCAGGAATCCACGGGCTGATCCGTCCCCGTCTTGGCGAGGGCTGGCGGAGTGCCCGCGGGGGAGCAAGCGGAAGCAGTCCGAGGGCGGCCGCGCGGGAGGCCTTTTGGCGAGTGTTCGGCGGAGACTGGCGGGAGGCAAAGGTGACCACCCAGGTTCAGGGGCAACGATAGGGCAGGACTTAGGCCGAGGGTTCGAGGTCGAAGGTTTTTCGGGCGTTTTCGGCGCAGCTGGCCAGCTGTCCAGCCTCGGGATGCCGAGAGAGCTCCGGGCGTGCCCGGCTCGCCCCGAACGGCCGCCGGAGGCCCGAGCTCTGGCCCGAAAAATCCGCCAGGGACGGGGATAGGCTCAGGGAGGCATGCATCGACCCCCCACCGCCAAGTGATCTTCGGCGGGGACGAGATGGCCCCACCCCGCCCTGGAACTTGCGGGTTGGCTGCCGGGGGCCTCTTGCCGATGCCTCGGCGATGTTTCAGCGATTCCGGGTCCGTGCTCCCAGCCCTGAGGCGGTCTCTCCAGGGCAGGCTGTGGCACCCCTGTCAAGGCGGTCGCGCGCAGGATTTTTTTTTTCCTATGGCCGCTTGGTGGTGTATTTCTACAGTCGGCCCAGATTAGTAGGGAGATGGCACCGACATCCGAGGACACGGCGTTAGCAGCGCCCCCCGTGCGCAGGACCCCTCTGCATTCTAGCTGGAGGGCCGCCCTGCCCTGTCCGCGCAACCGTGGGCCTGATCCCTCGGCGACGTCGCTGGTGAACTGCGTCTCCTGGATGAGCATCACGCGCGGGCATGCTCCTGTGTGCTGTAGCCGCTTGTAGGCGCTGGCCGCCGTGCCCCACGCGTTGCCGTTGGTGGCCGCGAAGAACAGGGGCTCTCGAAAGCGGCCCCGCGATGGAACAAGCTGGTGAGAGGTGTCTAGGACAAGCTCGACCAGGGCTGAGCCTCCGCACGCCGGTGGGGGCGAACGTAGTCTCAGGCGCAACGAGGTCTCGCGTCTGGCGGCTGGCGGCCAGTTGCCCCGTGCTCCATGGAGTGCCAGAGGAGCAAAAGAAGTCCTCGTCCAGGACCTCCCGAAAGGCCGCACAGCGGCCAGCGTCAGCGCCCAGGACGGCCACCGACCCTCCCAGATCAAGAGTACCCATGTGTCCTGCGGCGCAGAGCCAGGCGTCTCCTTTGACTAAGTTTCAGGGGTCCTTGCAGCGTAGCGCCTTATCAGTAGCGAGATGTGCTGTCTTCGAAACCAAAAAAAAGAGTACCCATGTGTCCTGCATCTCGCGACCCGTGCCTCCTGCCTTATGATGGCAGTGTGGCCCTCGGAAGGCTCCCGTGTCCTCTCGCGCGTCCTGCCCGATCAAGTTCGCCTGCGTCGGGGCCCCGCAGCCTCTCCCCCGCCGTGGCCCCCGGAAAAGGCCGACGCCGGCGTCGCCAGGCTCCGCGAACGCCGGTCGTCCGGCGTGCCTGGCGCACTCGGCGCGCTGGGGCGCGCCTGTCGGGCTCGGCATGCCTCGTCCCTGTGCTCGCCGTCGTCCTCGATCTCCTTTTCTGTTGTTGTTGTTGCTGTTGCTGTCGTCGTCGTCGTTGTCGTTGTTGTTGTTGTTGTCGTCGTTGTTGTTGTTGTTGTTGTTGGTGTTGCTGCTGTTGTTGTTGGTGGTGATGATGTTGTGGTTGTGGTTGTGGTTGTGGTTGTGGTTGTGGTTGTGGTTGTGGTTGTGGTTGTGGTTGTGGTTGTGGTTGTGGTTGTTGTGGTTGTGGTGGTTGTGGTTGTTGTGGTGGTGGTGGTGGTTGTGGTTGTGGTTGTGGTTGTGGTTGTTGTTGTTGTTGTTGTTGTTGTTGTTCTTGCTGTTGTTGTTGTTGTTGTTGTTGTTGTTGTTGTTGTTGTTGTTGTTGTTGTTGTTGTTGTTGTTGTTGTTGTTGTTGTTGTTGTTGTTTCTAATATATATATATATATAGATATATATACATATATAACACACAACAGTTTTATAAAGAAACTAATCCCGGCGTTATTCATCGATCTCGGCCCTCGCGGGCTGTTCTCGGTCCCCGGCATAGTCGAAAATGGATCCGGGACGCACAAAACTACCCCCGGGGAAGCGGTCGGGACCTCTGGGGCCGCAGATGGAACAAACAAATCGTGCTGGTGGATGTCAGGGGACTGCCAACATCCAGCGCAGCACCAGTCGCTGACGACTGTTGCAGGAACAGCCGTCAGGGTCCGTCCGCCCGAACCCGGTTCGCCCGCCCGACCCGCCCGGTGGGGTCCGTCCGTTCCTTTTGCTTGGAGGCCCGCCTGCCCGCTCTACTGTCCCACCCGCCTGCCCCACCCGGTAGGGTCCGCCCGCCCGACCCGCCCGTTAGGGTCCGCTCGTCCGACCCGCCGATTTGGGCCCGCCTGCCTGCCCGACCCGCCCGTTAGGGTCCGCGCGTCCGACGCGCTGATTTGGGTCCGCCTGCCCGGCCCTGACCCGTCTATTTCACCCTGCCGGAGATTTGCCAGGAGCTGGCCTGAACGAAAGAATCCTCCGAAGGGGGATCTGCTCATGCACGAAGGGGGCGGGAGTCGAGGGCTTGCAGTATAAATGTTGAGTAGGACGCAGACAATGAAGAGCGAGCCGTGTCAAAATGATTGAACTCTAATTTCTGAGTGATAGTCGTTGTTGATCCACCCTCCCCGGTGCCCAGGGCCTTTTTTCAAGTTCGCAATTGTTATTCATAAGGGGAAGTCTTGGGGCTCAGGAGCCCCTGACACCAGCGGCTCCCATTTGATATTGCCTCACAATCTAATGAACAACTGTATCTCGTGCGGGACTTCGTTACAATTTATGTAAGCATCGCGGCCTCGCGTTGGACTTTCTTGCAATTCATTGAATCGCAGCTCTGGACTTCCTCGCAATTTTCTCGAGAATCGCGCTATCGCTCGAGACTTCCATGAGATTCATGCAGGATTTACGCTTCAGCGACCCGCCCGCTCGAACCCACCGTCTGGGCCCGCCGGCCCGACCCGCCCGTCTGGTTGTACCCTTTCTTTTTCTGCTCCTAAGCCCCCTCCTGGTCATATCTGTCGTGGTCCATCCTTCTCCCTCCCCCTTGTCGCTTCCCTCCCCGTGGCCAGCTACACGTGGCAGGTTAAGAAGATATACCTCCAAGGGGAGGGTATAATCGAAGACGCGGGTATCGATGGTTGGGGATATACATGTGGAGTGACACGTGAGCAAATACTTATCTAATAATCGCGCTCTCGCGTGGTACTTCCTCCCCATGTATTCTGGCGCCGTGCCCCCTAGACTCAGGAATCACGCTATCGCTTTGGATTTCCTCACGACTTACTTGGGAATCGCGCTATCGCTCGACTCTTCCTTCATGATGAGTTGACGCTTTAGCGACCCGCCCGCTTGACCTTGCCGTCTGGGCCCGCCCGCACGACCTGCCCGTTAGGGTCCGCCCGCCGACACGCCAGGCTGGTTCTGCCGCTTGTGCTCCTGCTTCTAACCCTCCTCCTGCCAATTTCCCTCGTGCTCCATCCTTCTCCCTCCCCCTTGTCTCCCCACTCCTCCTCTCCTTCCCCTGTTTTAGGGGCTGCGCCAGCGACACGCGGCAGGTAGCGAAGATATACCCTCAAGAGGGGGAGTACGATCGAAGACGAAGAGGGCGGGTACCGAGGGTTTGGGATACATGTGCTGAATGGCACGCGAGCAGGTAAGTGGGAATAGTCTCAACATGATAGTACTTGTTGTTGCTGCTGCTGTTGTTGTTGCTGCTGTTGCTGTTGTAATGGTTGCTGTTGTAGTTGTAGTTGTATGTGTGGTTGTTGTTGTTGTTGTGGTTGTTGTTGTTGTTGTTGTTGTTGTTGTTGTTGTTGGTGGTGGTGTTTTTGTTGTTGTCGTCTTTGCAGCCCGTAAGGGCAGCAGCGCAGTCTGAGCACAAACGCCATTCTCGACAAGACGCAGGGTGCGAGCCTCGATGGGGCACACCCTACAACACGGCGCACGGGTGAGGGGAGTACCAGCAGCAATCATGTCTCAGAGGCGACAGTCCAATAACAACGACGACGCCGACCGCGAATACGTGGGCCGCCCCAGACATCCGGGAATGTCCGATTTTCTTCATCCGTGGCCCCAGAGGTCCCGACCTCTTTCCCAGATCCATTTCCGAGCCCCATGGCCCGTTAGTGGCCCCAGAGCTTCGCTGCCCGGATCTGCTCGTCTTGAAGCGCAACACGTGCCGTGTGCACAACGCCCGTGCGAACACGTTGCAGGTTGGCTCCACGTCTTGGCTCACGTTTTTTTGGCGAACGCCTCGCACCAGACCTACGCGTTCGGTCTACGTGCTGAGCCCCGTGCCAGCGCGCTACTTATGGGTTGCGCGTTACGT